TTATGCAACAATATTGATCATATGACTTTAGATCACCAGTTGAACTTCCAGAGGCATGTGGACAATGGCAATAATTTCCAAAGACAAAAAGAGATTGGACTTTGTTATCCAATTGTGGCTAAAAAGTGAGTGTGTTTAGGCATCAGGGATGGCTGCTGTGTATGTAACAAAAATGTCCATAATAATTATATTAATGCAATTAATCCTGTGTTTAGTTTGGCCCTGAAGGTACAGACAGTTTCAGTTCCTATCTTTAGAATAAGCTGTGGAAAGGGAATGCTCACTGCATTCTCTTGGCCTGTCCATGAACTCGTATTCCCCAATTACTAACTTTTAAACGGGCTTTTAAGACAGTTCTGTTATCATTTAGAAAGATGAACAGGATTAGATGTGGTTAATATTTGAACGGGAAACCATCGGAACATGCCAGGCCTGTAGACCAAACTGGGAAGTCGAGAAAACAATATAGAAGAATGTGATGGTTTCTGTATCATGCCAAAAGAGCTCCATAGATTGGTCTACATAAGTCACCAAGCGCTGAGTTAAATTGATTGAAAGTGGCTTTACTTTATTCTGGAAGGTAATTTTCAGTCAGAACCCATAATGTAAGGGTGTAGAAGAATGCTCTTTGATTTGCATATGAATGTAAAATTGCATATGAATATAAGATTACCTAATTTGAAATTCCCAAATCAATGGACGAACTGAAATACAGTGTTACATTGAGAGGAATGATTTCTTGAATTTTGCAATGCAGTTCCCCAATCAAAAAATGAGTAAAAATGGTGTGTCTGTGTGTGTGTGCGCGCGCGTGGAGGGGGGGGAATGTATAGAGAAATGGATTTTTAGTGGAAATAGCATACATTACATTAGAGGAAATTGTTTGCCTAAATGTGTACATGTGGGGAAAATACATATAAAAATGTGTATTGTAGGAAAATGATAACAGAAATGTGTATGAATGTTTGTGTGTATATTAAAAAAAAGGTAAATCAACACAGAAATGGGATGAAATGAACTTAAGCTTGGAGAAGTAAGTTAAATTCTTACCCTGAAGACTTTTGTGACCTGATGTTCATAATACAATGTTCTTCATGTTTTATTTATTGTGAATTACATATGTTTCCTTCACTTCTTCTGGGAAACTTAGAGCAACATATAGTCATTTTCCCATTCTGTCTCCCCAATAAACTCATGATATAAATGTAAATAGGGAAATAAACTCACAAACAAACCAAGAAGAACTGATTTACCCAAATAATTGGAAAAGAATTAGGGGAAAAAATAGTGCAGAAAGGAATCATTTCTAGTTTATAGGTGAGTGCTAGAATCCATGGTAGCAAGGGAAATAATACATAAAATATTAAAAACATATTTCTATTCCCTGTGAAACATACACACACACACACACACACACACACACACACACAGAGTAGACAACCTGTGACCCATTGGGTCATTGTTTCAGAGATATTTCCTTACCTAAACAGAGAAACAGAATGACCAAGGGCAAAAAAGCAGTGGGAATATGAGTGACTTGCAACTTGCTGCCAGCTTCCCCATTGACTTTGCTTGTGGGAAGCTGGCAGGGAGAAATCTTCCTTCCTTCCTTCCTTCCTTCCTTCCTTCCTTCCTTCCTTCCTTCCTTCCTTCC